CACACACACACTAACTTACATTAAAATCACATAAATTTAACTTGCGTGAACCTGTTTAACCTTAAAACAAATTTACACTGTAAAATTTAAACAGTTCTTTACAACCACTTGTTTTCGTCTCCTCGGGGGAGGAGGGTCTCCATGAGAGGACTGTGTAAACACACTTACGGTCCAGTCATATGAATAATACAAGCACACATGCACACAAGCTGTGCTCTCCGTATGGAAGCAGGCAGTATTTTAAATCTGCTCTGGGAAACATTTGTTGGCAGATGCTTTGTGAAAGCTCAGCTGACCACTTGTAGCACTGAACTCATCACTCTTCCCAGTGATTTTAACATTGCCATTATTTCAGACAGATTGGCCAAACTAGTGCTGGAATGTAAGAGATGAAGTTCAACGAGAACTCAAACCATCTCAGACTCTGAGCGATTACGTCCTGCTAAGTCTGATCTGACATGACGCTGACACAGATTCTTGATGCTCTCATTGTTTTGCATGAATCCTAATTCTCTGAGGCATTACAGTTCATTCTCTTAATCAGTTTAAACGTTCATCACAAGTCGAGCTGTGAAACATGTGTAATTCTTCCTGGAACAACTTGAAATCACAGCTCAGTGGCGTCTTTGTATTTATGAAACTTTTCAGGGAGAGATTCAAAGACTTGTTTTCTTAGTGGATTTTTGTAAAATTAAATTTCTCATTAAAAGAGACACTTAACTCATAGTATCATGAGAAATACAGAATTGTGATTGAAACATGTCCTCTGTTGTACTGAGGTACAGATACAGTCCAATCACAAGCTCAAAACAGAGAAATGGAAAATTTAAATATTGAGCCATTGGTATGTTAACATGTAGATATGTGTTAGATGTATTTGCATGGCTTGGTTGGGTTTCTCCTGCACAGTTATGAAAATATACCTCTCCTGCCAGCATTCAGTGGTGTGATACATGTAAAAACATACAATTTCATAATATGAATTCATGTGTTAATTTGATGTAAAGGCTACAATAAAAACATCTGAATAGCCTAGACTGTTCTGAAAATAACCAGATACAGCATGGATGGATTGTCCTGATAATGAACAAGATTATTGTAAAGGCAGGGAAATTACATAAAAAAAACATGGCCTAAGGCTCATCATAAGACTTTATGCCCACCCAGATCTACTTCTTCTCTTGAGTTCAGTCTTAGTTTATTGTACAATTTGAGAAAGTTCCCACTCTCTCTGTATCATCTCTCTAATGTATCCCTTTCCCCCTTTTTTCCCTTTCATTACCCGTCCTCTTTAATCTAAAATGGTAGGGATTAATCCCTGTCTGTTTATGTCCTCTTAATTCTCCCTCTAAAACTCTTCATACTGTAGATGAAGTCATTTGAATACTGGTGCAACATGTGAACGAGAGGGAGGGAGGAGAGAGAGAGAGTGAAGAGCAAAGAGAGGCAGAGGGGGGATTAAAAGCCTGCGAGAGGAGAAAGTGATGCTGTTTCTGCAAAGAGACACACGAGTGAGCTGCTTTCTGTTCAGTCCAGTTGGATTTCTTGGAGCTGCTTTTCTCAGTGACATGTCTTGACTTTAGATCAGTCAATCAGGATTGCTCATGGGTGAATGAGATATTTTTTTTTCAATCCTGCTTGTATCCAGTGTGACATCTGCTAACGAGAATGGGCTACTCGGAGGTTTTCTTTAACTTAAGAGCTTGAACTTGAAGTCGACAGAGAGGAGAGCAGACCCAAAAAAAAAGTGAAAGAGGAAGGAAACATTTGGGCAGCAGCTGGACAGTGGCAGGAGGAGACTGGAGAGGTTGTGTAATGGGCAACTGCACCAATCCATCCATGAAAGACAAAATGAAGGTAAGAGCATTTTGTTCTGACTTACTGGAGCTAAATGCTCTTGCTTACACTAAAATAAGATTGTTGGTCAAATTTAAATGAATCGCTTCAATTTCCTAGCACACAACTGAATTAAGTTTATATGTATTAAGTGAACAAGTACTATTAATGTTAGTGGTTTAGGTCAGATCTACTTAAATCATTTGATTTTCTGCAATCATACTGAAAGAAAACAGTGTTTGAGTTGCAGCAGATAAATTTGAACAAATGTGGACGTCAAATGCAGAATGCTAATGGAGCAGTAAATCTGATTTTTGCACTTTTGCTGAAATTCAGGTATCAATTTAAAGGACAAAACTGTAATAAAATAAAATCTACAAACATAAACTGCCTTCACCAGAGCAGAAAGACACATGAGAATGATTTTATAGGACTTTACTTTAACTATAACTCAAATATACTTTTGACAGTTTTTTATTATTATTTGCAACTTGCCTTCATTATTTATTGTCTGATTTTATTGCTTTTATTTAATATGTTTCTCTAAATGCATAAAATATTGACCAATGTGTCGAAAGTCCTGCATTAGATGTTTTAAATCACCAATATAAAATGTTTTTAAGGCACAGTTTGGAGTACAGGACAACCTGGTAGCATGACCTCTTCTGAAAAACACAACTTCACTGGTCATGCAGTAAATTAGGCTCCTATTGATATATGATTCATGCATGCAGGCTATTCCTTGCAGTCACCATCTACATGTGGTGATGCAATATCACAAGCTTTCTTGATCTCAGTCGCTGTTAAACAATCCGTTTTCTCATTCTTATTGTTGATATTTTTATTCTTGTTTTTTTTCTTTTTACGTAGGAATAATGATAAATTAAAAGCAAAATCATGTGCTTTTCAACATTTCTGACATCAAAAAAGTGAAAAACACACACTGCGCTATGAAAATTGCTAAAATGATTGAAAGATATTATCAGGAGCATGTCGTAGCAGTGTTACAGACAAGATGTCAGTCATTAGACCAGAGACTTAGCACCATCTCCTCAGCCAGGGTCAGCAGAATAAGACTGCAGCAAGATGGAGACTTAAAGAGAGGGTTGACATCAAGACACAACAAGAATAACATCTGATGTTAGTGGACTGCCTTTAAATACTAAGAAGTCTCTGGGTCACAGTCAGTGTTTGCACGATGGGTCCTTCTTATAAGATATCGACGTTCTTTAAGTGTGGAGAAATCAGGGACAGTAGATGAGAGTGGTGGTTTAACAGCCTGGTCTTCCTCAAGTGGCTGATTTGTTGGCCCCTGCGGGGAAAGGTGGAGGTGAAGGATACAGGCCAGCAGGGTCTGCAGCTGGAGGTAGAGGAGGAACAGGAACTGGAGGAAAAGCCGTTCAAGGAATCCTTGGGTGCGCTGGTGAAGAACTGTCACATGCTGTCCAACATCGTGGGCCCAGCCTGCATCTTCCTCAAACGGGGCTTGCGAAAATTTGTATGTAACAGAAAGCAACGCACGTGTGTGCACACTGTGTCCTCACGTGACCCCAGCGCCACTTTTCCACTCATTTCGATTCATTTTCATCCCTTACATCGTGGCTGACCCTCCTGCTGTCCAACAAACCAGCTCAGTCATCCTCCTGCATCACTGGCCGAGGTCAGACAATTAAATCTCTGGCACCGCACATGCTCACAGGGGTCGATCGCCGGGTTCCATGGAAAATCATTGACTGGCTGTGCGGAGCTTGTGCTATAATGTGAGGAACACAGTGATCAAGGCTGAATTTCTAATCAGGGAGAGTGGGAAACTTGTCGCTTAAACAGCTACTAAAAATACCAAAAAGAGGAAACAAGTCTTTACTGAAACCCTGAAACAAAAGTCTGACTCTCAAACTGTGCACTGATGTGTCTGTTTTATGTCCTATAGGTTAACGTATTACTGCAGACAGAAACAAATCAATGGATTCATTAGAAGGAATCATTTGCGAGTAGGACTCCAACTTCCTCTTGTCCCTAATTTCATTCTGACCTGACAAAAATAATAGAATAACCGCATGTAGAGAGGTAGAACAGAAACCTACCAGTTTAAAGAAGTGCAACAGCTTTGGTTTGTGGGATGGGATTTTTCCAGTGTTGTAAGTCAAATCTTTGTTCTGTTTTATTAATATGAAAACCCAGCAAAATGAAAGTTAATTTAACAGTGTGTCCAGTTTTAATGTCCCCTCTAATCAGGTTAAACTGGTTGTTCTTCTGTTGTAATGTTGCCTGACCTTTAGCTATTACACATCTAGCTTATTGTGTAAAAATGAGGTTGAGGATTTTATCAGAGCAACCAAAGTAAATAAACTGATCTCTGCGGATTTGCCCCGTACTGTTTCTCTGTAAAGCTCTTAGCCGAGCATCCTCTGTACTGAATCTCCATCGTGTGTGCTTTTGTGCTTGCATGCAAACCTGAGTGCAATATACATCTAGTAGTTCATGTATATGAATAATGGACATGTGTCCAAAGATCTCTGTGAAACTAAAGCTCCCAAATCTCCTAATCTCTAAATGTGTGTTGCCGAGAAGCCTCCCACATCTAATCTGGTTACCCACTGTAATTTATGGGACATTAATTGTCACATATAATACACCATAATATGATATTGATTTAATCCATGTAGATTTAGACACTACTTGTCATGTTAAAATGCCTTGGATTTGTCTGTGCGATTCACTGAACTGAGAAACTTCACTCTACATTTGCAAATCGCAATGAAGTATGTGGTTTGAAGAAAAAACACAACGCAGACAGCCCCATCATCGCACATTCTCCATCTCAGTTCAACCATATAAAGCCAAACTCATTCATCAAAACACTGGCCAGATTTCAAAACTCTGAAAAATATTTGTATACACAATATTTTCCACTCATTAATCATTTTTCTCAGTGTTTTGCTTAACGTTTGTGTTCATTTCCTCCTTGTTCAGAGTGTCCTCATAAAGCGACATGTGTGTGTGTGCTTGGCTCATGTTTCTATAAGTAGACCTGTGGTTGTATCTGTGCACTATGTTCACTGTATTTTGCGCTTAAGTGTTTCTTAGTTGTGTGTGTGTGTGAGAGAGAAGTTTGGCACCGCATGAAGCAACAAGCTAATATGTGACACTTGTCCCTCCAACAGGACAGAGAGCTGAGACCAGAGGAGATCGAAGGTGAGATGATTAATGTGCAGAAAACCACAGCGTGTTTTTGGATTAAAGCATCTCAACGTGACACGTGACTTATAAATGTGCTCTCTGTGTGTTTTTACCAGAGCTCCGTGAGGCCTTTGTGGAGTTTGATAAGAATAAGGACGGCTACATCAGTCACAAAGACCTGGGGGAGTGCATGAGGACCATGGGATACATGCCTACGGAGATGGAGCTCATCGAGCTGAGCCAGCAGATCTGTGAGTGGAGCCGGAAACACCTGAGACAGCAGAATAGAGGACAAGGAGGAGAACAAGAAAAGAAAAACAAAGACTAAATCAAGCAGCTTGCATTGACTCTTAATGCAGTTAGTTTATAATAATTTATGTGAAGGCATCAGGAGAAAACTGCAAATGAATAGAGAACAGCACTGATTTGTGGTAGTTTTATGCATCATTGCATTTGTGTTTTTCAGGCGGAGGTAAAGTTGACTTTGAGGACTTTGTGGAGTTGATGGGACCCAAGATGCTGGCAGAGACAGCGGACATGATCGGAGTCAAAGAACTGCGAGATGCATTCAAAGAGGTCAGCTTGCACATACTGTTATATAAACAGATAGGGCCGTTTTAACTCATAAAACTCAGGTGTTACATTATTAATTGCTGTGTTTCATTTCAGTAGCTTAGAGTGTGGTCTAATCTCATTCATGTGAAAACAATAATGGTACAACACGCAATAGAAAAATGAAAAAAGATGGTGCTCATGGTGTTAAATCTTCAAATGTGCAAAAGAGGCATACAAGAAATGAACACTGTGAAGCTTTAATAATCTGTCAGTTGCATGGCTTGTTCGTAAATGAAGTAAAGAAAACAAGCGCGTGTCCTGGCAAGCCTTTATCGGGGTTTAAATGAGGAGACAATACAAGAAACTGATATTTTCAAGGTGATAGATAACACATAATCTTTCGCAAGAAAGTCAAAAGTGTAGACAATTTACACCAATGATGGCTGCTTTCCACTCGGGCCAGACAGTTTCAGGATGTTCTGAGCTGCTTAATGAACACTATTGATTACACCTGCATTGTTCCTGCTGTAAGAAACCAAACAGACGGGAGAGGATGAGTGCTATTCCAATACTACAAGCTTTGCAAGCAAAAGCCTTCAGAGACAATAAATGGACAGTGAACATATGTTTTGCACATGTTTAAGGAGTTAGAGATCTCTGATGCTGGCAGCACTGCAAAGCTTAATACAGATAACATGGGAAAGTGAAAAGTACAAGATGGGCAGACTTTGACATTGTAGACAGGTTAGTGTTGTGTTTTTCTCATGATATTGCTGATTGCTAAACCACCAAGACACAAAGCTTTTTCTACTGCGACAGAAAAGGTTTGGAAAACACACACACACACACACACACACTCACACACACACACACACACACATTACAAGAAGGATTTTCACTCTGGTGAAAATATAAAGAACGACACAGAGAAAAAGCAAACGAGTGCATTTCCTAAAATGTTCCAGTGTACTGAGCTTGGTATGACGTGATCCTTAGTTTCTGCCTCTTTCTGTCTGCGTTCAGTTTGACTCTAACGGCGACGGTCAGATCAGTTTGATGGAGCTGCGTGAGGCCATGAAGAAACTGATGGGAGAACAAGTGACCAACAAAGAGATCAACGAGGTCCTCAGAGACATCGACCTTAACGGAGACGGCCAGGTGGACTTCGAGGGTAAGAGAGCGTCATTATGGGATCTGCCAAGTGACCACATCCATCTTCTTCTGCCTTCTCACGCCTTTCTTTCTAATTTTCTTTTTTAGAGTTTGTGCGAATGATGTCCCGCTGACTGGTCCATATGTCAGATGAGCTGCTGGATCAAACACTACGCTGTGGTGAACTTACTTCATTTGCTCTGAAGATCATGTGTGTAAATTGATATTTTTCTATAAAATATACAAAAGGGGAAAAAAAAAACAACTGCAGCTCTACAATTAACAAGACTGCACACGTCTGAATTTGAGGTGAAATATAAAGCATTTGAACAGCTGTGAAACATATCAGAAGCTTCACAGTTCACATTTACAACTTTCTGGGGTTTTTTTAGATGTATTTTTATATATGAGTGTTTGTTCTCTGAGTGTAAAATCTTGCTTGTAAATTGTAAAAAAAATATTTTTTAATCAATAAAATATATAAGCATTGGATGAACTGGTTAATTATTCTGATCATTTAATCACATTGTTAAAGAGCCAGGCCACACATATGGACAGAAGTTCAGTTATTTGACAGTCAAATGGTTTGCTGAGTCATTTCACAACAAAATAAACTAATGCAAAAGTTTGCATCAGATTTTTTTGTTAGTTGTGACAACCTCGAATAAAATTATGCTCAACCAACAAACAATTTTCTAAGGGAACTATCTTTTCCTTTTAATTTTCCTTTTAATTTTTTAAAGGGCTTGATATTCTGACCTCTAGAAGGAGAAAGGATTTGAAGCCAATTTAATTAACTTACTGTAACTTGAATTTGAGTATTAATCAATAAATGCAGAAATGTCACTTTAAATTACACACAATGTTAAGTTGGTGTAATGTTCTTGTGTCAACACAACTCATCAAAACTATGTTTGCAACTTAAAAGATCTACCTACACCACAAATCAAAATATCATTAAAATGCATTTAATTACGTGATGGTAACAGGAACACTGGATTATTTCTTACAGAGTAGGCAGGAGGAAAGCTCCACATCTCAAAAAGTGATTCAGCAAGGTAAACATGCCACATCGAAGTCAGACGACGTCCAAAAACACCACAATTTCCTAATTACTTTACTAACAAACGTTTTCATCACTAAAGTTAAATTTAAGCTCACAATGTTTGCCTTCGCAGCCTGCACAGTCTCATATTTCTGGCGCTCTCTGTCTGTCAATCAAAACAGTGTCAAAACATTTGATTATGTTGCGTAGTAGTGAGGGACTATGGGAGTTGTTGTCTTCATCACCACTCACTGACATCTATCTGATGAGTCTCAGGCTGAAATCATGTTTGAGAGATAATGTAGAGAAGTGTTAGATTTAGCCACATGTATTTATGTTGTCTGACCGCATTCTAATGAAATGCCTGCATGTGTAATTTGCTAATGTAATATTAACTTCTAATTCACCATTAGATGAGTCATGTGCACACACAGGTACTGTAGCTAATGTCAGGTTGGGAGTTCAGGGTTTTTCGTGGTCCAGAATGGGCCTTTGGAGAGTCACATTAGTCTGCATGAAGGCAATGAACTTATTTAGCACAAATGTAAGCATTTCCCAATGATTTCTGACAATTTGATGAACAAAATGTCTATTATGCTGCAACTTCAATTAACAAAACTGGTCTCAGTTCTTCCACAGTTCTCATTTGATAGTGGCTCAAATCTCAATGAGAGACACCACAAATTCCTACACGCAGGGAAAACCCTGGAATCCAGTTGTGTTTAATCTGGTGACATTGGGGAAAAGAGAGACGACAAGCAACCAAAATACAATGCACCGTCACATTGAATTAAAATGATGGATTCCTCTGGGTTTAAACATTGTTTGAAACATCTGGATAATCTAAGTACACAAATAAACACGTCTATACTTTATGCAGAAATGTTACATAATACGCCCTTAATATATTTCATAATAATCCGTCCTGAATGTAGATGAGGTGTTAAACATGGACACATTGTGTTCTCATTATATTCCATGTTGAGCTGAAATCCGCTGCACTGTATCAAGAATGAACATCTGGTTTTTGGCTGATGGCAGCTGTCTGTTCTACAAACATAGTGGCAACAACAGAAGCCTGTCTGTCTCCTGAATGACAGGAAACTTTATCCCCCACTGTTGCAGTTTTAAGCTTGAACTTTCCATTACAAATCACTTTCTTTAATTTTACTTTCTTCATTTACCATTTCCTCATAAAGAGGGATTTTGGGCCTGTGTTACTGTGACAGGACAGTTGTGTTTAGAGTCAACAAGCTTATGTCTTCTTCTTAATTCAAAACAGAAAATGGGTCTGAATTTGACCCCAAATTTAGAGGCGTCCTCTTGTCATCTAGCAAAGCCTGTTGCACAATCCTGACTGCACAAAAAAACATGTCACATGATCAGCATTACAGGTCTGAAACAGCTCTGTTGGCAATTTCTCTCATTTTGTATACACTGCATTGCTTGATTTACAACATATTTTGAGTTTTTTTTGTTTTTGTGGCTGGCTACAAGCCTTAATACAAAACCCATTTGCCATAACAGGATGGTTTTACGTATAGCAACCATATTTGGTTGACAATATTTTCTGTTTTCAAGCATGATAAGATATATGTTGTCCAGCTGCCATCCAAAACTTCAGAAAAGCAGGGATTGATTAACATAACATTTTTATTTATTTTCTAATTGAATTCATTTGTTTTGTTCATTAACATTTTTATTCAGCCAATTTTTCAGTAATAAGTAACAACAACAACTATTTTGAAATCAAGATTTTCCTTTTTATTGAAAACTTGGCCAGGATTCTGTACAGCAGAGAGGGTGTGCAATGCACAAGGGCAAGAAGACAGGGGCAGGGGGCTCTAGGCACTCAGTTTCCCGTGATGCATCATACCCTGAGCCGAGAATCGTGTGTAAAACAGCAAGAGGTGTGTGTGTTCTCTCTTTGTTGTCTCAGAGGACTGTGGAGGGGAATGAAGTGAGGGACTTAAAAAAAAAAAGAAAAAAAGGAGTAAAGGGTGGAAAGCAAAGCTCAGCCCATAGGGGAGAAAGAGAAAAGTAGAGACAGAGAGGAACAGAACAGAGGGTGGTCTGGTGGTTCTGGTGGTCCAGCTGGTCCTTCCACTGAGGTGTTGTCTCCGATAAGGGGCAGATATAGATCCTCACCTTTCCCCTCGCTGTGTTAGATCATAGACCTGTTGAAGGTGCTGAGGTGGAGGCCTCAGACATCTCTCCCCCTTTCCCTCTTCCTCCGCCCCTCTCCCTCACTTCCACTCTTTCTCTTTCTCTCCTTCCCTGAACCTCACTTGCTGGCCATGGTGTAGCAGCCCTGTTGGTGCCACTGCATGTCACGGATACGCCTCACAGACTGGAACTGAGGATGGCGGGCGCCGAACTCGTTGAAGTGCCTGAAGTCGCCCTTCTCCAGCAGGTACTGGCTGCCACGGTATCCAGGGAACTGGTATCCCACCCAGCTGTGGGAAAAAAAACAGAAAAAGTGTCAAGTATAGGGTTGATTTTATGGGTTTTGAATCTCCTCTTTGCTGCACTGAAGTCTGACACTCACGTTCCACAGCTGACAATGATGCTGCCCACTCTGTCGGTGAAGCCGTAGGAGAACAGGCTGGGAACGTCGTCGTCCATGATCTCCATCTTGCGGCCCTTGAACTCTCCAACCTCGTACAGGCAGATCTTATGCTTCTCAGGGTCCTGGAAGAGAGAAAAACAGGTTAAAAAATATTGTTTAGAGAGGAGTCTAAAGCAAAAAGGAGTGAAATGGATCATTTGAGATGTTTTTACCATTCTGACGGGCCTGAAGGACAGCAGGTAGTCGTTCTTCTGGCAGTTGCTCCAGGAGTCCCAGCGGGGATACTCTCCCTTCTCCAGGATGTACATCTCACCGCAGAAGTTCATCTGCTCAAAGCCCACGAAGCTGCAGATGAGACAGAGTCATGAAGCAACCGTGCAAAAGATGAACATGTTAAATGTATAAATGCACAAGTATCTTTGTTTTTTAGACTTACGGTCCACACTCAACACGCAGGGAACGCACGCGGTCCATGCCCATCTCACACACATTCATGCACTCGTTGCTGATCTCGATCATGCGACCCTGGAAGTTCTCCTGGTCGAACACGTACATCTGGTGGGAACAAAGACAGAGAAAAACATTGTGTTATATCTCAGAGTGGCCACTATTATCTATATCTGAAGGAGGAGTCCTGTTAGGGAGTCGCCCACCTTGTAGGACATCATTCCCATCTCAGACTTCTTGCCCTGAGCAGCCTTCCCATCAGTCTGGGAAGAAGTCTTGGACTTATCTCCACTGGACATGATTACTGAGCAGAAAGAGAGAGAGAGAGAAAGAGGGAGAGATGTTCATGTGACAAATTAAACCTGATTTACTGATATGAGGTTATTGAGGTAATCAAAGGCTGCATAGAGGAAAAACCTGGTTGTATCTCCATGCACCTGCAGGTGTACAGTTTGCGTGCACCTTACCTGTCTGTGTGTGCAATGCCTGTGCCGAGCCTCACTCAGAGTGTGTGCGGCTCGGACTGCGCCCCTCCCTTTTATACGCTGGCGCCCACAGGAGAGGGATTATGGGGAAAGAAATAAACCTGCTGAGGTCAGAGACGAGAGACAAAAGAAACCCCACATCATCAGAGAGGGACGGACGAAGGGGATGGGCAGAGGCAGGAGGACTGACTGAAACTGGGGAACAGACGAACAGACTGACCGATTAAAAGCAGTTAATGTGACTTAAACTTAAAAAGTGATTTAAGTTTTTATATGTCAAATTGTTAATTTTCCTGTTGCTAGCATCGTTCATTAACTTAAAATACAAACAATGCCCCTTGATTGCACTCACACAGAACACTGTATGTTGGGTAACAGAAAAGTGTATATAGTTATTATGAGTGCAGCTGAATAGCTTTAAACAGTTTTGCCATCAATGTGACACGAGTAATTGAGGTGTGTCATTTTTATACTAATCCTTGTCAGAAAGCTTTAGTTAAAGATACAAATGATGCATTCATTCATGTCAGGGAGCTCCAGATGTGGGGACACACACTACAGCAAGCTGTCTATAACATAACACTGTATGAGGTGATTCTTGGTAGTTTCCGGCTCTTAGTTTACAGATGGATAACTGTTTAAATTGGGTGTAACTGGATGTAACTTTATTGACTTGACTAATGAGTGAAAACCATAGGACTCCAATATAAAACGCAGTGACTTTGCTGAACCATACACCTGCACAGGTGCTCCTCCTGTGGGCACACCACCATCTGGTGACAATGAGATCTCACTTTATAGAGAAATATCAAACTTTTCCTGCCCCTATAACGTTCCTATACATTGGTCCACACCCACCCTCTCCTCTCCTCCTGTGCGCCTCTCTGCTGCGCCGTTAATCCCCACATTCTCCACCCCGATCCCGGCCCTTTGTGCCGGGCCACGCGTTGGACTGCTGACCGGGGTGCGAACATACCGGAGCGCCTTTGTTTCCGCGCCTCAGCAGCACTATAGGATCTGCTGAGCTGGCCGCTGCTGCAGGACAACAGCATCCAGCGGCCACGCAGCTGCGCCCGGGAGCGCGCCTCGCTCCTGCTGCGGTGCCAAATGGACAGTACGCATGGGTCCGAGTCGCAGACGCGAACGCGCAATGGCAGGCGCGTTCCCAGACCGTCGGTATAAAACTGAAGCGCCAGGTTCTCTCAAAGCTCTACGCGAGGCAGGCGGTAGGCGCGTACCACTCCGAGCTCTTCTAATAAAGTGCCAATCTAGGTAAGGCTGCATCTCTGCTTTCAACTCAGCTCAGGGTCACTCAGACAGGTGCGCTCAAGGTGCTTTCACACAGAAACTGAAATCCAAAAGCACTTTTAAACGCCTGTAAAAGCACTTGGATTGCTGCCAGATGGGTTTTCAAAAATCCAGATGTTTTAGATTTTCATGAGAAAAAACTGTAGCTGTGTGACATGAATGAGGATTAGTGATGGTCCTGTAAATGGACGGTGAACAACATCATGTTTTACACCAAAGCAACAAGCAGGAGAGTTGAGGATTTTAAACTACTGAATCACTGATGTTCTACAATACATTTTCTATCTGGCATCGTTTCTCCCAAACTATCATAACCTTTGCTTTACATCCTCTCCTCTGTCCTCATTTGCCACCTCAGGGGTAAAGATGTACAGAACTACTAGGTCCCCAATGATGCAGCCGCTGGTCAACTCAGGAATGGGCATGGCTCCTTTCTTCAAGGTAAACACGTGTTCATTTGTGCACAAATTGTGATTCAAATTGGCTACCAGATGGTTTAGATTTAGATAAACTGTACAACCTCACTGCCAAGTAAATTTCTTACTTCATATTGTCCTCCATCCTGTCTCCTCAGGTGACTGTGTTCGAGCAGGAGCATTTCCAGGGAAAGTGTCTGGAGTTCACCTCTGAGTGCTGCAACATCCAGGAGTGTGGACTGGACAACATCCGCTCCATCAGGGTGGAGAGCGGAGCGTAAGTTTTCTGAGGCTTTTTCTCTGGTGGCAACATGACATGAATAAGACACTGACACAATGTATAGGTCATGAAATGTACTGATGGAGTAAATGAAGGAAAACACTCCAGAGAAGATAAAAACAAGTTATGAAGGACTGTGACTGACATTTTTAGTATTCCTACATGGTTTTACTCTTACATCATATGGGGGGGACAAGTGTTTGTGTTCAGATTTACCAGAAGTTGGATCACAGCATCCTCTTTAAATGCACTGTAAAGGGAGCATCATGTAAACATGCCTCTCTGTCTCTCTCTGTGAAGCTGGGTGGGTTTCGAGCACCATGACTTCCAGGGCCAGCAGTTCATCCTGGAGAGAGGAGAGTACCCCCACTGGGACGCTTACAGCGGCTCCATCTCCTACCACGTGGAGCGTCTGATGTCTCTGCGCCCCATCTACTGCGCCGTGAGTGCATCCCGACTCTCCACGATCTTGTGTTTTTCCACCTGAAAGCCCAAACTCTAACTCAGAAATCTGTCTTTCTGTGTCTGTTCAGTCCCACCAGAGCAGTCGCATGATCATCTTTGAGAAGGAGAACTTCATGGGCCGCAGTGTGGAGATCTGTGACGACTACCCCTCTCTGCAGGCCATGGGCTGGATGATGCCTGAGGTTGGCTCCATGCACGTGCAGTGCGGCGCGTAAGTTATCCTGAATTTTTCTGTGTAGATATGACAGTGAAAACGTATCAGTACGATGCTTCTTTTTTTTCAAAACTTTTCTATAAATACTCCTGGACACGGACACTTAATTCTCTACATCAAATCTGTCTCCAAATGTTCTGTTTTCTGTTCTACCTATATCTCAGGACCTTTAAACATCATGCATGTCAATCTACAGTTTGTTAGAAGTGTAAATCCACCATAATCCCTCACCAATGTGTAGTGAATGTAATGGACATTCCAGCTGGAAGCTCTAAGCATGTACTAAATCCAAACTGTCACAGCAGCTCATGCAGCTCCTAAAATAGTCCCACTAACTCCTGCTGCCTTCTCCCGTCTGTCCCACAGCTTTGTGTGCTACCAGTTCCCTGGCTACAGGGGCCAGCAGTACATCATGGAGTGCGAGAGACATAGCGGAGACTACCAGCACTGGAGGAACTGGGGCTCCCACTGTCAGACTCCCCAGATCCAGTCCATCAGGCGCATCCAGCACTGAGAGGAGGACAGGCTGAGACTGAGGCCACGGCCCACGGACAACAGCTCCCCTCCACCCCTGACCCCTTTACCCACAATCCCCTCCTCTCTTTCTTTCTTTCTCTCTTCGATCCTTTCCTTCCTCTTGACTTGAGCCGCAAAAAACAGCCGCCCCAACCCGACAACACCACTACTGATTTACAGCTGCTGCCACAGAGTGTGATAAGAGACAATATCGCACTGTTAAAGCACAGGGAACTACACACACACACATACGCTGACATAACTGACACTCAGCACAGTGTCTTTTTATTTGGTTTAGAGGTGTCTATGCACACAAACACACACCTGCGCTGTACTCTCACCTGAGCTTCGGCGATGAGAGTTTGAACAGAGGGGAGATGAAGCTCAGACGTTTCCAGGAAAACCTCCCCGGCTGCAGTCGCTCCGCAGTGCAGCTCAGATGTGTTTTGCTGTTGTGTGTAGGAGGTTGATCCACAGGTTGATAACTAATAAAGTCATTTTCACTTCATGTATTCTTGGTTTATTGTTTCTAAGTTTGTATGTAATTTCACAACAGTCTGAGAGTGCATGAATGGTAAAGTGTTTCAAAAAACACAAGTAAAATAAAGTGGGTTTTCCACTTTGCTCGCTTCTTTGTCCTTCTAGTAGGAAAGTCATCAGCTCATATTTTCACAGAGAACTCTGTTTTGTTGTTGTTGTTGTTTTTTTTTACAGTTTTACCAGACATGGCAAGAGTATCAAAATGTTTATATATTCTTTACAGACTTAAGGGTCAGGTCAGGTACTATGCAGAACTTATGCAGCAAGTTGCAATAAAGCAGAAATCTTTATTGTTGAAATCAGACTCTAGAACCAAAAGTGCCACAAGAAACATTGACAAACATAAGCTGACAATAACAAAAAGAAGACAGATTTCTTGCTGGAACATTTTGGCAGAACCGAGGCTGACATTATCGATCATATTTGTAATAGCTGAAAGTACAGCGAATAAAACACTGATGATTCATTTGACAGTACAAAACCTTCATTTTTGGACAGTAAAACTCTTTCTAAACTGTTTCTAAAGTGTTGTTTTCAACACTTAACAGATAAAACAAACTTTGCTGAACATTTCTGCTTAACAATTACAAATCAACAGTAACTCTTTACATAAAATCACAGGGTAAATATCTCAGAAGTACAAAATATGAGCATTCCTATTACACTAGGTAAGTCTGTAAACTCAGCTCAGGAGCTGAAACCAAATATTGTACATAAACTTTACAGTGCTGTTGTTTTGTTGCACATTAAATTCACTAAGCGTCTTCCCACATTAGGATGCTTTTGTCCAAAACAAATAGCTAACATATTGCTCGCAGCTGCTCGTTTCCTCAACATCGGTGGAATAGGAGAACAAAAATCTCCTGTGATTGTCAGTGCGTTTGCACATGGACGTGAACGCAATATAAACAGAAGGAAATTAATACATCACTGGTAAACGTTAACGATGAAACAAATTTTGTATAGATCGCCATCACCAATACTTTCTCTGCCTGCCGTATGACTCGCAGGTAAATTAAACAAATTCAGATATGTATTCTGGGAGACAAACTGAGGAAGATGAGCAGAAAAGAAGAAAAGAGCTGGACATGAGACGCTCATGTAAAAGCACATCAGCCTGGAATTTTTGTTAAAATTCTCAACTTTACTCACAGCAGTGAAGACCGTTGACGAAGTGCAGTCTGTCTTCAACAATATCAATATTCTCGTCTCCTTCCTCTTCCGCACCTTCTGAAGAATCTGTAAAGCAGATGATCACCGGCTTGGGGACGGGACTGCAACCTGAAATCACGTCGATGTCCTCTTCCTTGTCTTCCTCCCATCTTTCTGTCGACTCCAGACTGAACTCTTTTGCAGGATGTGAAGGTGAAACAGAAGGCTTCACGTCAACAAAATATGACAGACTTGCTTCTGTTATGTTCTGGCAGTTGTCCATGTCTTTGTTCTCCAAAATCTCCAAGTTGTCACTGTCTCCTTCCACATCAATTATCTCATCAGTGCTGATGTACATCTCTTCATCCGTCAAATTGCTCTCCGTCTCTCTGAGTTTGATTTCGCTCCACACTGGTTTTGGCTTTTGTTCTTCTCCATATGAATCTTCCACACTTGTCAGCGAAAGAGTCTCTACGTCAATTACCTCCTCTAGTTCTGTAACTGGTGGCTCAGAGACAAAGCCTGCAGATTCAGGGCTCGACGTGTATGTTGCACATGTTGGCTGTGCCTGTGCCATTTGCTCTGAACAAACCCTCTTGGTCGCTATGGCATCATCACTTCTGTCCTCATTTGACTCTGCTCCCCTCTTTTGTCCTCTCCCTGAAGGTCCACGTACCTCTTCTTGTGGCTGGACAGTCGATTCCTTTTCATGTCTTTCTTGGTTTTTCTCTAGTTGTTCATCTGAGCCACTGGGATGCACAGGATGCAGTTGAGCTGGTGGCATTGAACTGTTACTGTCAGATAAACTAAGTAGCTGTGTATTTCTCCTGGGCCGGCCTCGTCTGCGAACTGGTTTGTCTGCTGGGGGTGGTTCCTCAAGAAAGGGCATACTGTCCTGAGAAGCAAGTTCAATTTATGACATTACACAAATTCAAAAAACACCTTTGAGACAAACACAACAGACATGCTGGTGACCCTGCAAGCAGTCCAGTGGTGGCACTAGTGGCTTTAAATGAAATGCTAACCTCACCCTGCTAACAGTGACACTGAGTAAACTTATATTATTGTGTTGGCATGCTAGCATTTGCTGATTAGCATGAAACACAAAATATAACTGAAGCTAAAGGAATTCGTTTGCAGGTATCTGGTCCTAAACTAGTGTAAAATTTGGACATGATGATGACACTACATGATAAGGTAACTGATAGCAGATGATCGTATAACCTTTAATGTCTGTGCAAGATTTTGTTCCAAATCCTATTGCACAGGGAGAGATATGTTTCTCTGGCTAAGTGGATAAGCAATCTCATTTGGCGTAGAGGTGCAGCCAGAGGAAACATCAGGGATCACAAAAGTCATTAAGGGTCGTCCCCTGGTGAACATGAATGACCAATTAATCACTCGACAATGCAATCCCGTCCCCAGACCTTGCTGCTAGTGTGATGCCTCTATCTTTAAATCTCAAGACAAATGAGGTCTTTGAGTTTGAAAAAAAAGGTTCATCCTCACCATAATTTGTGCTTCCCTAAACCTGCTCCTGATTGGGTAGGTCTTTGTGCTGAACAATGTTGACTGATTTGTTCCAGATGAGCTGTCACAGGAGTATTTCTCAGATGATGAACAGGTCTTTGCTTTTTCAGTAGTCTGAAATATATACACATATAGGTACAAAACATTTGACACTTTTTCTTCTGTATTCTTACAGTCTGATTTCACACACAATAATACTTATTCAGTGAGCCAACTCACATGTAATAGAATATTATGTCAGTGTAGAGTGTTGATGTTTGGCTTCTCGGATATGACATTGTCGCCTTTTATTTATTTTTTTTGCTAAACTGCTAACATCAACAGAAACTTTAGTGAAGAAGAAACAGAAAAGTCTGTCACCTTGTGCTCCAGACTGCTCTGTCTCTGTAGCTTCAGTGTGACTGGCAGCAGGCCTCTCCTCTCCAGTTGCACCACAGGTATCTTCTGTAGCTGGTCAGCTTCTTGGTCATGAATGGTTTTGGATGTGGCATCAACTGATGACACTGGCTTTCTCACCCTCGGCTTCTTTTTCTCTAACATGAACAGATATTGGTTTGGTCTTCTCTTCTTCTTGCGTTTGCACGGTTGTTTTACTTTCCCCAGCGTTTCCTCAGTGTGTTTGGGGGAAACGGCTCGGTGAGCAGAGGTCTGGCGTTGCTGTGAGCGGCTCTGCTGCGTTTCAGTTTCATCACTCTGCAGTTCGGTGGTTTGAGGTCGTCTGGCTCGACGTGCATTATTATTCTGTACATGAGAGATGTGAGGGGTTGGGGTCTGAATCTTGTTTTTTTGGTATTTGCACAGGACACTGTAAGGCTGGCTTACCTCTGCAGAGCTCTCAACACCCATCTCTTTCTCTTCCCTGGCACTACAGCTTTCAACATGCTGCTCAAAAGATTGAAGGAAGTGGTCCAGCATCTCGTTCAGCTCTCCCCCACACTGCTGCTGCAGAACAGGAACATCACCACTTGTAGAAATGGAATTACCAGATCCTGTTGCCACAGCAACAACCTCTGTGGACCTATGGACACCAGTAGCATGGCACTGTTGTCTGATTTGGGCTGAAGTGTTTCCAGAGGAAGAAACGATGCTGCTGCTGCTTGCTGGAAGAAGATCTTGAGAATGTGGAGCTCTGTTGTTGTTGTTTGGTAAAATGTCGAGTCCCATCATCACTTCCTCCAGAAGACGATCAATGTGCTCGGGCTGTTCGTCATGAGGTGAAGGGGCTGGAGGAGGGAGCGGGGTGGTGTGGAGGAGGGACGATGCTGGAGACGCGAATGAGGTTGCAGGTGACAGCAGGCTGGTAGACGGAGAAGGCTGCAGGGTGGGGCTGCAGGCAAATAAAGTATGAACATTGTAGAATCGGGTGTTTGGGTAAGACAAGGAAACTGATGGTATTGATTTGGCCCTCGACCTTCGAGGCCTGTCAACAGGGAGACTGTCCTGTAACCAAAGAGACAAGTGAAATAATCAATATACAATACAAGGTGCAGCAGGTGCAAGGAATTAAAATGTTTCTAAATGTGTTGTCAGTTATGATACAGTACCTATACATTACAGTCTGTCATAACTGTTGCTATCCTCCTTGAACAAAACAACTGATTCATTGCTCATATGACCTTATTAATCAGTCAGAGAGCTGGACACAATATCTTTTCTAATATATGGATCAGTTTCAGAGGAAAACACTTCTTGAAGTGGCAACTTAATAAACCAAACAAATACACATACACAGAAACTAGGCGAGGAGGAATAGCTGTCATTTGACCCGAACCAATT